ATGGGGCTCTGTGATGACAGCTCGGAGCCTGGAGCCTACTTCGGGTTCTGTGTCTCCGTCTCTCTGCCCTCCCCCACATGTGCTCTGTTTCTCTCTTTCTCAAAACTAAAAATAAAACATTAAAAAAAAGATTATCTTTCTCCCTCTGCCCCTGTCCCCCTGTCCCCTGCTTGTTATGTCTCTCTTTAAAAAAAAAAATAATGATAATAACACAATAAAGATTTTCTTTTTGAGTCATCTCTATTGCCAAGGTGGGGCTGGAATTCACCAACCCAAAACAAAGACTTGCATGCTCTAATGACTGAGCCGGCCAGGCACCCATCTTCTTTTGTTGTTAAAGTATCTTTTAAAAAACTTACTAATCAGGGGCGCCTGGGTGGCTCAGTCTGTTAAGCATCCGACTTTTGATTTCTGCTTCGGCCACGATCTTATGGTTCATGTGTTCAAGACCTGCACCGGGACTCTGTGATGTCACTGCGGAGCCTGCTTGAGATTCTCTCTCTCCCTGCCCTCTCCCCCTGCTCCAGTACTGTTGCTTTCTCTCTCTCTCAAAAATAAACATTTGAAAAAAAGCTTACTAATCACAGGTGCCTGGGTGGCTTCGTCGGTTGAGTGTCGGACTCTTGATTTCGGCTCCGGTCGTGATCTCACGGTTTTTGTGATTGAGCCCTGGGCATCGGGCTGTGTGCTGACAACACGGAGCCTGCTTGAGATCCTCTCTCTCCCTCTCTCTCTGCCCCTCCCCCGCTCACGCTGGCTTGCTCTCTCCCTCTCTCCCTCTCAAAGAAATAAGCATAAAAAAGTTTAAAAACCTTACTAATCAAGCAATACAATTTGTTGTGGAAAAGCCCGGGAAGTGCAGTTAGATGAAAAGAAACGTGAAAATCAGTAGCAGCTGCAATAGGAAACTAATCACAGCCGCCCATTCACCGGCACAAGGAGGTGACCCATGTCTGATACTTTGGTGACATCCCTGGAAGCTTTTTTCCCCCTGTACATATAGTTTTTAATAACAAATTGGTTTCAATTGTATATCCTCTGTCATAATCTGCTTTTTCCACTATAATATTTCCTGAATATGATTCCACGAGATTATCCTTAAGTTGTTTCTTTAACCAGGTAATGGACATTTAGTAAGGTTTTTAAACTTCTTTATGCTTATTTCCTTGAGACGGAGAGAGGGAGAGAGCAAGCCAGCGTGAGCGGGGGAGGGGCAGAGAGAGAGGGAGAGAGAGGATCTCAAGCAGGCTCTGTGCTATCAGCACGCAGCCCGAGGCCCAGGGCTCAATCACAAAAACTTCCTTATACACGGTTCTCTGATTTCCTCAGGCAACAAAGCATCTAGTTTAAGCCTCTTTACAGCTTCAGCTAGTGGTGTATAGGTGAGTATAGAGGATAAAGAGGCAGAGAGAAACTCTTTCCAAACCTTACGGTGAAATATAGTTTTAAAAAATCAGTGTTGTTGAGATTCTACTATTCCTGGGGCTTCATGTGCCCTTTATGATCATAGACTCAAATCTTCCTTTATTTCTGTAACATGAAAACAAATTATACCTTGAGTGTCTTTTCCTGTTGTATTATTTTGCTTGTCTTCTACGAAGAAATTAATTATGTGTCTCCTGCATATATCGTTTTTTCCTTTAATCTTACTTTCTCTAAAGTATTTTATTTTTTATTAAAATTTTTTTAATCTTTATTTTTGAGAGAAAGAGAGAGACAGTGCAATATTTATTTATTTTTGAGAGAGAGAGAGAGAGAGAGAGCGTGAGTGGGGGAGGAACAGAGAGAGGGAGACACAGAATCCAAAGCAGGCTCCAGGCTCTCAGCTGTCAGCACAGAGCCCAAATGCGGGGCTCGAACTCACGAACCATGAGATCATGACTTGAGCTGAAGCCAGACACTTAATGGAATGAGCCACTAAGGTGCCCTGTGACAGAGAGAGAGAGAGAGAGAGAGAGGAGAGAATCTTAAGCGGGCTCCACACTCAGCACACAGCCTGACGTGGGGCTCAAACTCACAAACCGTGAGTTCATGATCTGAGCCTAAGTCGGATGCTTGAGCCGCCCAGGCACCCCTAAATAAGGTTTTTTAAATCAACTAAGTCTCTTTAATGGTGCTGGCTTTGTTTATCCTGTTTTCCCTCTCTCCTTTTATATTTTTTCATCAATGTCTTGTTTTGTTTTGCTAGATCTTGCTTTCCCTCTTGTCCTCACTGTCCTCACTGGTGTCTTTCACTAGCCATTTGCTTGTTCCCAGCAAGGGCTTACTGGGTTTTCTCCTCAGGGTGAGCCATCTACTTCAAGAGATAGACAATCAGATACACCTTGAGTTGAGTCCTGGCTTCCTTTACTTGGGAAATGCAGCCTTTCTCTGTGCTTGGGAAGAAGGAGCAGACCTGGTGAACACATTGCCGGCGTCTTCGGCAGCCTGTGTTACCGGCCACCCGAAATCGATTTCATTTTCCCTTCCATACGTGCCATGCCCCCACCCTGTGGTGCGCACGGAAATACGCCACTCAGGCTCCCCCCCTGAGAACGGCCTTGTTTCTCCGGCTGCTGAGACAGTTGTCAACACACAGCCTCTATAAAGTATCGGCCACATCAGGCTAATGTGAGATGACTCTGTTGGGGTCACCTGAGGCTTCGTTGGGCTTGCGAGGCAGTTTGACCTCTCCCTTCCGCCCCCTACCCTCCACAGGTGTTGATCCCTGATAATGTCCTGCACGCCCAATTCCTGTCTCACTGCTTCCAGAACACCTGATTTGTGGCACCATGTTCCCCCAAGACCAAAATCTCATTCATCAGTGTGTCCAGCTCGAAGTACAGAGTACCTGGGTGAAGCTTGGTTCTCTCAATTCTGGGTGCAGCTCTTTCTTCTTGGTTTAAGCGACTTATTAAGTTAAACAAGTTATCTGCTCCTGATCCGCACAACCCAAATACAATGAGGGAGCAGGAAGAGTCTAATCACCATGAACATGCCCGTTGGCAAAGGAATAATGGGCGCCACACAGAGTTCTGGCTCAGCAGTAGCGCCGGAACCCTGCCGGACAGACGCCGATGAGGCCCGGTCTGCTTTCCAGGAGAAGCTCCAGGGCCCACTGCCCACCTGCTGGGAGGCTCTCCCTACTAGTCATTGTGGCTGCATCTGAAGCAAGTGCCGGGGAGCCACCCTGGGAAACTCCGAAGCCTGTGTCCTTCTCATGCAAGGTCAGAAGCCCAAATACAATTTTAAGGCTCAAACAACAGACAGCTCATTTAGTTCTGGCTCATGGTTTCTTTGGCAATAAGCGCCTCTCGAAAACCTAGCTGACTTCTGTTTGGCTCCAGTTCTGTGTCCGTAACCATATCCAAGGTTGTTGTTTCCTAGATAGGGTTCTTGATCGTGTGATCTTTTCAGATTATCAGGAGCTTTAGGCGGGGACGCCACACCCTTAACCCGATCTCTGCCCTCAGTCACTTTATTAGTTTATGCACTTTGAACAGTCCTTTAGCAGGCAAAGCCTTTTTAATCCCATCTCATGTTTTCATAGGTTCCCCGCCTTGGACTCTGTCTCCCACCATAGCATTGACCCACCAGACAATTAATAAAATTTGGGTTTTCCTAGCTATGTTTATTTTGTTAACTATTTCACAAATCTCTCTGACTTCATATGATTTACATAGATAAATTTTGTGGCCGAGTTTCAGGCAATTGAACACATAGGTAATAAGATATTTTCCATGTATAATTCCTAAACCAAAGGGAAAGACATTTGGAGTTAATGAAGTTAGAAAAAAAAAAGATCAGCTATAAACACAGGTTATTCAGTGTCACCTATAAGTCATTGGTAATGGATGGAGTGGGTTGGATGAAACAAGAATTACCTTCCTTAAAGCTTTCCCTTAATTAGGGGCGCCTGGGGTGGCTCAGTCGGCTGGGTGTCTGACTTCAGCTTAGGTCATGATCTCACGGCTGGTGAATTTGAGCCTGTGCTGACAGCTCAGAGCCTGGAGCCTGCTTCCGATTCTGTGTCTCCTTCTCTCTCTGCTCCTCCCCCACTCGTGCTCTGTCTCTCTCTCTCTCTCTCTCTCTCTCAAATAAATAAACATTAAAAAAATTAAAAAAAACCTTTCCCTTAATTATAGTTGTACAGGCTGGTGGGGAACTTGATTGTTCCTGCCTCTCCCTCAAGCTCCCCTTCCCTCTCTTCATCCCAGAGCAGCTTACGTGAGGCAACAGAGGATCCCCATCATGGTTGCGGTGATCAGAAAAGCAAAAACGGCTGCTGAAGGTGTGGAGTTCTTGATGTGATCCTGCAAGTAATTCCTGAAGTTGCTCAGCCAGGACCTGTGATTTTCTGCAGAAAAAGCATAGACATTCACTGATGAGAGATCAAGTAAGGGATAACGCTGGGATTTGAACCCTGGTTCAAGTTCACATAGCTGTCCCAGATATCATGCTCTTATGGTTGCCCAGAGCCCATATACTTAATGATTTTACTGTGGTGCCTCTCAGATATCCAAGGAATATACATTAAAAAAAAGGTATCCCCTGGGGCGCCTGGGTGGCTCAGTCGACGAAGCGTTGGCTCAGGTCATGATCAAACTGGTTCGTGAGTTCGAGCCCCGCATCAGGCTCTTTGCTGCCAGCTCGGAACCTGGAGCCTGCTTCAGATTCTGTGTGTCCCTCTCTTTCTGCTCTTCCCCCACTCTCTCTCTCTCAAAAATAAGTAAAAATTAAAAAAAAAATTAAAAAGTACCCTCAGAGGAACATCATCTTCGCCTCCTTGTACATGAGGGCACTTCGTGAAAAGATCTGAGCAGTATATGTGTTCGTGTCTGAAGCTGGCCTTTGGAAGCAAGTCTTCCCTAGCCCCTCCCCGCCAAGCAATTTGAATGATCCCTTTGTCCTCAAGTAGCCTCTGACATATTTCATAGAAGGTTGGCATCTCTGGCTTTGGCTGCCCAACTGTGAACTCCTAATCCGTGTCATTCTGATGAGGGAACATAAGGCAAGCTGACAGGCCACGAACAGCACCCCCCACAACCAGGTGGGATATGTGTGATATTCCTCTGGCGCTCCTGGCTGCCCAAGAACGAAGGAAAGGGAAAAACAAATGGTTAACTGATAGAGATCATAGTCCTGCAGGCCCTAAGTCTCCATCACCCCTCCATAGTGATGGGGGAAACAAAGGCAGAAGGAAATGGCAGATAGAACCAAGTTTCCTTGTAACCTGCAGCCCGTTGGCAAATAACTTGAGGCTGGCCGGTAAAACTTTTCTCCAGAACTCCCTACTGTGTTAAGGCTGATGCTTTGCTGGAGGGAAAAACAACCTTCCCTTGGCAATAGCTAGGCCTCCACTATCCTGGGAGTCTTCTTTAGTGTGTGAAACTCTCACTGGAGACTTCCCCTGGACTTTACCTCACCCAACCCCATAGTATATAACTAGTCTCTCCTCATGGTCCCGGGGCAGCTCTTCCTGTCATGGGTTCTGTCCCCGTGCTTCAATAAAATCACCGTTTTGCACCAAAGACGTCTTCAAGAATTCTTTCTTGGCCGTCGGTTCAGGACCCCACGAACCCCACTGTCACCCCCCAAACCTCATCAATTCAGCAAAGGGTTTGGGGAACAATAGGTGGGTTAGTGCTTATTGATCTAAACTGAACTAAACCACAATAGTTTGCTTTCCTGTGCACATTATTTTTCAATACAAGATCAGCTTTTCCTAACCTGAGACATGAATCTTACGTCTTCCGGAGGTGATGGGAAGATTCATCCTCACGGCAAGCACACCCCTTGACCGTGGTTTCCATCCTGCTGCGTCTTGTGTTTCAGAGGCAGATAAAGGTGACGCGGGGGAAGCTAGAGTCTCTAACAAGAGGCAGTTCACGGAACACAGCAGAAATCCTACATTCACCAGCTTCTGGGGTTCCATGACTCTCCTGAGGGCCCCTCGGCTGTACTCCTAGCTCATTTGGCCAGCAGGAGACGCCTTTTTCCTTGGCTCTTTCCAAGGCAGAAAGAGTCGTCTGAAAGGTTAGAAAATGGTGGTTTAGTTTGTATTACAAAAAGCTTCTCATCTGTCACGAACATAAGAATGTCCCGACTCACACTGTCGAATCCTGAACACGGTCAGTGTCCACGGACAATGCGTCCTCCCTCCAAGAAAAACAAAACAACACAAAACGAAACTTTGCTCTGTCAGGTCAGGTACGTGGCGCTCCCTCCTGGTCTAGATCTCCCTTCAAGCTTCCCAGCTCCGTGAGTGCAAATGGTCTCAGCTGTTCGGGCCCAAACGTGTGGGTCGTCTTTGACTCTTCTTTTACACTTCCCCGTGCCCACTATCAGAAGAGCCTGGTCAGCTTTACCTACCAAGTCTTTCCCTACTCCTGCCACCCTCACCACCTCCACTCCCACCCACGGTCATCTCTGTCTCCTTGCTTCCATCCACGCCTCCCCTCTGCTTCCTCACTTCTCCTTACTGGACAAGCTAGGAGAGCTGAATCCTGCCTTCCCCAGCCATCCTTGCAGCTAGCAATGGTTAGGTGACACGGTTCTGGACAATGAAGCATAACAGAAATGGGTCAGGTGGCTTCTGGGAAGACTTTTTGCTGTCTCGAGAAAAGAGACGGTGTCACCATTTTCCCTTTGGAAATTTTGAGTCACTTAAGCCTGCACCTGTATCTGTTCACCTCTAGGCTGCTTCGTATGAGAAAAATAATCCCTATTTGAGCCATTCTAATTTGGGCTTTCTATTACTTAAGTCATTTATAACTAATACATTCATCTGTTGTTTGATAAGGCGTAGAGAGACCCACGTTTGGGGCACCTGGATGGTTCAGTCGGTTAAGCATCCAATTTCGGCTCAGGTCAAGATCTTACGGCTTGTGAGTTCGAGCCCCACATCGGGCTCTGTGCTGGCAACTCGGAGCTTGGAGCCTGCTTTGGATTCTGTGTCTCCCTCTCTCTCTGCCCTTCCCTCGTCTGTGCTCTGTCGCTCTATGTCTCTCAAAAAATAAATAAACATTAAAAAGAAGAGAGAGAGAGACCCACGTCAGGTGGGAAGACACTTACCTGAAAATTGACTTAGTGCCAAGAAGTCAGTAAATTAGGTTCAGTGTTCAGAGTGCAGAAGAAGCTGGTCAGAGTTTTCTCTTAAGGTCTCTCTCTGAAGTTCCGAATGGAATTCTACTATCCTTTATGATATCATCTGTGCATTGGACCCTCCCCTAGTCTCTCTCTATTTGACAGCTAAACACAGAGGCGTCTTTTTCTATGTACAAACATCTGTGTTGATACTAACACCCATCCTTACATAGCTGTTTCCTTTTAGTCTTGAAGAATTCTAAGATATTTTGCCTGCCACATGGTATCTGCTATACCTTACAATAGTATGTATATATATATATATATATATATATATATATGCATGAGACCTTAATAACTGATAAAAGATGGTTTAACATGATGATTGCCTATTCATTTGGATGCACTGAAGGGAAAGCCCTACACAAAAATAAATAATTTCTGGATAGATCAAGGACTAAACAAAAGTAAAACCATATTCATATTAGAATAAAATATGGGTGGGTGTTTGCATAATCTTGGTGTGGAAAAAAACTACTCTAAGCATGTCATAAAACCCAAAGCCATGGGGCGCCTGGGTGGCTCAGTCGGTTGAGTATCTGACTCTTTTTTTTTAGCGTTTATTTTTGAGAGAGAGGGAGAACCAGAGTGTGAGTGGGGGAGGGGAAGAGAGAGAGGGAGACACAGAATCCGAAGCAGGCTCCAGGCCCTGAGCTGTCGGCACAGAGTCCCACACGGAGCTTGAACTCACAAACCACACGCTCATGACCTGAGCCGAAGTCGGATGCTTAACCGACTGAGCCATCCAGGTGCCCCAAGTATCCGAGTCTTGATTTCAGCTCAGGTGGTGATCCCATGGTCATAGGATCGAGCCCTATGTCAGACTCCATGCCGAGTGTGGAGCCTGCTTAAGATTCACTCTCTCTCGGGCTGCCTGGTGGCTCAGTCGGTTGCGTGTTTGATCTCATGTTTTATGGATTTGAGCCCTGCAATGGGCACCGTGAGCAGAGCCTGCTTGTGATTCTGTCTCTCCCCCTCACTCTCTGCCCCTTCCCTACTTGTGTGCATGCTCTCTCTCAAAAGAAATAAATAAATTGAAAAAAAATGTCTCTCTCCCCCTCTGCCCCTCTCCCCCTGCTCGCATGTGCTCTCTCTCTCTCTCTCTCTCAAATAAAAAAACAAAACCAAAAAACCACCCCCCCAAACTAGAATTGGAAATACTGATGATAAATTTATTGCATAAAAGTGTAAAGCTTTCATTGAGCAAAATATTAAAAAGAAAGGTAAATGATTAATGACAAATTAGGTAATACATTTCATAAAATATATGGTAGATAATAGGTTAAGATCCTTAATATACAAAGAACTCTTACAAGTTAACTTTTTTTTTTGAGAGAGAGGCAGAGTACAAGTGGGGGGAGGGACAGAGAGAGAGGGAGACAAAGAATCAGAAGCAGGC